GTTAAACGTTTTCTATATAAGTGTATCACATTGTAATTTGTACATGAGTAAATACCAATCCTAAACTCTCATCACTTCTATATGATCTTTTTGCAGTGATCTCTTTGCTCTTGCTTTCGAAATCGGTATTTTTAAGAAAAGTAAAACTAGAATGATTCTCTTAGTTCATATCCTATGGATTGGATTTGAAAAAAAAATCCATAGTACTGTATATCTAAGATGTCATCATCTCACATTAATTTTGACGTATGAAAAATGCCATTAACCCAAAAAAATAAATCTAACACTAATCTATATAATTATATATGAAGTGCGAAATCCTACGTGGCGCTCTCAGAATGAATTTGAGGGTGGTTGATTACAAGGATACCCTTAATAAAATTATAATAATTACATGCCTTGCCACCAAATATTTTCGAGTCAAAATATATCAAATTCGTCTAATTACTATTTATGGATTTGGGCTTAATTTTAAATTGATTTTAAGCTTTCGTCTAGCCCATTGGTTTTAATAGAATATTCATTTAATTATTTTGTGATATACACAGATTTTGAAATCTTCCATTATTATATAAGATATATTCTTTATTTAAATTTGATGATATATTATCAAATGTATAAGTGAAACTCTAATTCTTTGTATATATATATATATATTTGTTCCCGTCTTTTTTTGGTCCATTGCAAACCATAGTCATAGGGCTACGTTACTCTCATATACTATGTACGTTCATGCATGTGTTTCTTATCCAAACTGCCTTCTTATATTTTTGCTCTCTTATTTATAAACATATTGCTTAGCTCTCAAGCTATGACCTCCAAACTCGACTTGTGTATATTTTGATATCTCTTTACTAGATGCTTTCTGTTATGTTTTCTAAATAAACGATGCTGATAATTTATCGATTTTTTTTTGTTTTTGCAGGATCTCCAGTACATTGTTCTTCTCTTATATATATACTTATTTTTATTGATATGTTTGTGTTTCGATCTCGATTGAACCATAWTAATCCTAACGATTTTTTWWKKTTYYTYYYYTKGRWTTACTTTTGAATATTGTGATCATCATCAAAACCTAATCATCGTAACTTTTTTACATATTGATTTTGTATGTGTTTGCTTGGGTCCTAAGCTAATTTATTTCTTTATATTTTTGTATCAAACAAACAGGTAATGAGTTTTTTTTTTTTGATTCCTTTCCTTGTAATCGAAAACGGCATGTTATGGGAAGTTGAATGAAAAGTACTATTTCGTATATAAAGCTTTAATTTGATCTTCGATCATTATCAAGCTGTAAAGATTTTCGATATCATCGATACATTTAGGCTTCAGGTAAAACTCACTCATACTATATTTTTTCTCTTTGCACAAGAAAGCTAAATTTGTGATTAACTTTTGGGTATTATTGTTTGGCAGGAACAACCACCGTTTGACAAGAAACAGTTTGTGATCTTCATGAAAAGATATGTTTACTCAGATAAACAAGAGCTTTTCAAGAAACATAGTGAGAGTGCGACCAAGTTCTTGATGTCAAAGCGCAAAGACTTCCAATTATAGGTTCTTATGTCTTTTGCTCTCTCTTTTTTTTTTTTTTTTGGTTTCACATTTATCGTGTAATATTTTTACCTCTACCCTTTTGTATCGTATTTGTGTTCAGAGTATTTCTTCTTCTTTTGTTTTGTGTGTGTTGTTCTCGATTGAACCATATTTAACCCTAATGAAATGTTTGTGTAGCTAACCTGTACTTTATTTCAGAATGTATACATTTGCGGAAACAGTCGTCGCTCCGCATTCCAGTGCCGCATCACCATTCATCGTCTTTATCATCTATACACTTAAGTATAGTTTAGTTCGGTTCGAATTTATATTTGAGTATT